ACACTTCTACTAAACCCACACAGATGTTGTCGCTTCTATCCACATATTCCTTGTTTATGACCTGTCGGACAGTTGCGGGGTAGTGCTTCCGTATTTGAATCGGGTAGAACGTTTCCGCGGTTATGATCGCACAATCTAACCACATGTAGTATTTGCTGCACTTGTATCTCTTCGACGACCCAGACCATACTACTTTTATCGGTGAATTTTTCAATCAAACTGTTAGTTAATGACTTCCCTACTCCCGCCGTTTGCGTTATTTTGTTTATTGTAGTTTAATAATATATTAAGACCGTCCTGGGTATTTGAATTTGGTCTGAGAGGAAGTTGAAAATAGTCATAATTCCAAGAAAATATGCGGGGGACAGCTAATTTATTTACTCCGTCTACATGCAGTCTCAGTGTTGGTTCATAGAGTAAGACGGTTCAACGATTCTTGAATGTGTGGTGTCTTTTCCCGTTGGTTAGGCAGTGACCAGACTTTGCGCGCCAGTACTGCCATATTTCATCTTTTTGTTTTGTTTCGGTCATAATAAATTTGTGCAATGTTTCATGTGATCCGGACATGTGCATTCTAAACAAACACACATACACAAGAGTTGGAATCAATGACAGGTATTTCCGGGCAGTGGATTTTCACTGACTTGATCGTAGGAATTGCCGCTGTCAAGTAGGGTGACATTATCATCAAGATTTCATCACAGTTTCATGCACGGAATTTCCCGAACAACAACAAAGTTCACTAGAGGGTTCAGTGGAACTACGAAGATTTGAAAGCCGTAAGCAACCAACATAAGTAACCATACTCTGAAACGGCTGACAGCCTCAATTCTACGGTTAGCGGAACTTTACACTACCGGGCGCATCTCTAGGACGTAGATAGCAAAACGAGAATTTAAGTGGTGTACCGTAAATAAAAGTCGTTGCTTTACTGAATGAATGATCTGTCGCGGAAGATCATCAGCGATGGCTGAGGACGTGGTGGGATTTTACTTGGAGAATTATCTCCGTT